TTTTTTTTTTTTTTTTTTTTTTGGCTCCCATTCAAGTGCCCACTGCAAAGTTTTCAATTTCTTTTTTCTGAACACGATCTCACTCAGCAGTTTCTGAATTTGCTGGTGTTGCCTTTCCCTTCATTTTGCTCTTGCGTTTCAACTTCAAGTTGCTAAGTTTCAGGAAAGCCATGGATGCGGAGAAGATGGAAAAGCTGAAGATTCAATTGCACCAGTTATTGGATCAAATCCGTGAATTTGTTTCTGAAATCCCGCCAGCGCAGCTCAATGCCGCAATTGCAGTAGTTCTAGTGACTGTGTTTCTCTTCTTCATCGGTAGGTGGCTGCAGAAAAACCGTAAATTTAGTTAAAAGGCTTCAGTTTCGTGCATTTGTTCTTGTTCTACGTTTTATTTGATTGTTTTGTGCTATTGTGATGTGTATTCAGTGGTATTCCGGCGTGAAGGTGTTGAGTGGGATTGTTGAGTGGCTCATTGTTCAAGTGTAGTTTTAATTATTGTTGTTTAGCTAGAAATTGAGTCTGAGTTTGATTGGGTTGCAGAATAATCGAAATTAAATGAATTATGATGCATATTCAGATTTATCCGGGTGTGAGGAGTTTGAGCGGCTCATTGTGAACTTGTAGTTTTAACTTTTGCAGTTTATCTTGAAATCGAGTCTGAGTTTGATTTGGTTGCTGAATAATTGAGATCGAATAAGTTATGATGCATATCAAAAATTGAATTTGTCGTTTTTGAACTAGTCCTGTTGAGGTTGGGTGCAGCTCTAGCTTTTTTATCGCAATTAGTTTCGGTCATAGTTTAAAATGGCAATGCCATGGCAACGCCTCGAGGCGAGGCGACCGAGGCGAGGGCCACATCGCCTCGCCACTGCCTGAGGCGACCCTGTTCGCGAGGCGCTCGCTTCAGGTTGCCTCGGCTCGCCTTTTCGCGGGGCGAGATGCGCCTGTGTGGCGCGCCTCGGCGCCTTTCAGGGGAATTAAAGGCACAGACCACCCCTTATTTTTTAAAAAAAATAATAATAAATGCGTGTTAACACTTTCTGGAAAAGAGAATAAAAAAAAGGCACATCGGGCTGTTTTTTCCTTCATCTCTCAGACCCACGAAGCTAGGGTTTTTACCGGACTGAGGACATAAGCAAAAATATCTTCACCTTCAAAAACCTTCGTTACTTTCTTAAGTGGTGTTTGTGTTTCAATTACTTGCCTTTATGGGAGATATTTGATGTTATTTTATCATTTGTACACAACTATATAATTGCATAATCTATAATATTATTTTTCTATATTTTGGTGATATGTGTAGCCGAGGCCTCGCCATGGCGAATCGCCTCGCCTCGTGGCGAGGCCATGGGCCAATCGTCTCGCCTCGCCTTGCCTCGCCATTCGCCATTTAAAACTATGGTTTCGGTCATTTAGACATCCGGGTTGAAATTCTTCTTTGCCATATGGTTTTGGTTGGAAAAAGAAAAGGATAAATTTTTGTAAATTACTAGGAAAGTATATTCCATTGAGGCGGTTGTAGATGTTGTGTTTTGTAAATTGATTGCAAATCTTTGTACACATTGTTTCTCTTTATTTATAGGAAAATTTGTTGGTTGCAGTTCGCATCTTCAAGCGAAAATCATCTAACACAGTTGTGCTTACTGGTTTGAGTGGAAGTGGCAAGACTGTTCTCTTTTACCAGGTTCGGATATGGTTGGTTTTCATGACAATTTATATGTGTATCTTTCTGAACCCAACCGGAAATAAACTATTTTGTGTACACTATTTTTCGCCTATACCAGCTTCGAGATGGCTCCTCCCATCTGGGTTCAGTCACATCAATGGATCCCAATGAAGAGACTTTTGTGTTACACTCAGAGACTACTAAGGTAATGTAGTTTACTAGTTATTTACTAAATCAGCTCTGAAGTTTGGCTAAATGCTAACCCGATCAATATGTTACAAAACACTCTCCTCTCTAGAGTACATCTGTAAGATTGAAAGATAAGCTGAGGATTTTGGTGGTTAGGGGCTACCTCAAAAATGTTTTTGTAATTATGTAACTCTTGATTTGTGTGCTTTTGCAGAAGGGAAAAGTGAAGCCTGTGCATGTTGTTGATGTCCCTGGGCATTCTCGTCTTAAGACCAGACTAGACGAGTTCTTGCCTCAAGCGGCTGCTATAGTTTTTGTGGTGGATGCTGTTGAATTCTTGCCAAACATACGTGCTGCCTCAGAGTATGTTATCATCTTTTAGTTTAAACATAGTTTCACATACCTACAGACTGCCTCAGAGTATGTTATCATCTTTTAGTTTAAACATAGTTTCACATACCTACAGACTGAACAAGTCGAACACTTCTAATTTCATGCTTTTTTTTTTTTTTTTTCCGTTTGGCTCTCTAGGTACTTATACGATATTCTGACCAAGGCGAGTGTTGTCAAGAGGAAAATTCCTCTACTACTCTTGTGCAACAAGGTTGATAAAGTTACCGCGCATACGAAAGATTTCATTAGAAAACAGCTCGAGAAGGAAATGTAAGTAAAAACCCAGAAATTATTGATCGTTGTTGCTCATCATTTACATTATACCGATTGTTCTACTCTGCTTACATATTTTTAAGTACAAACCTAGAAATTTTTACATCCCTCGGTAACTTTTTTAATTGATTTGTTTCGTTTTCAGTGACAAGCTTCGTGCGTCAAGAAAGGCACTATCGTCGGCTGATGTCACAAACGAGCACACACTCGGTGTGCCTGGGGAAGCCTTTGCTTTTCACCACTGCATTAACAAAGTTACAGTGGCCGATTCATCTGGCTTAACTGGTGATATTTCCCAGTTAGAGCAGTTCATCAGAGAACACGTAAAAGCTTAGATGATATTTTTCTCAGTTAGAAGGCAGTTGGTCAGAGAAATTTGTGAAAGCTCTTAAACATTCCATTTGATTTTGTTGCCAATGATTTATTTGACATGCTATGAATGCATTAATGATTGACTAATGGAGATTTTTATAAAATTTGCACCGTGTGTAAAGAATATCAGTTCCAATTCGATCTGGAAATATTAATCGAAACTGTACAATAAATGTCACTATTGACAAAAAATTCTGTCTATTTCGTACTCTTTCGAGTAAAAAGAGTGAATAAGAGAGTTTCATTTCTTAAGCGGAGCTTCCATTTCATTCGTAAGCAGCTGTATTTTGTAGACACCACTGTTTTATCTTGAACACGAGAGTAAATACCGAAAAACACGGTAAATGTAGCACACCTACAGCCAAGTACCTGCAAAAAATTATTGAAAAAATTGCATATTCTTTATAAAAATGTTGTATTTTCGTTGGTATTATATTTTTTCAGAGTGAAAAGTGTGTAATACTCACCATGCTGGAGCATATGGAGATGACAAGTCTAGAAAAGGATAAGGCCATCTGTTACAATAAAGAATTTATATATTAGTGTAAAACTATAAAAAGACAAGTATCTAGTAAAATAATTTTGAGATTTTCAAAGAGATGAACAAAACTATACCTCATTGAAACAAAGGCATGAAAGATCCATTGAAAAACGACAAAAACACACGTCCACAGGACAAAATACGCGATCCGAAAGAAGGGAAACTTCTGCAAAAGGATTAGAGCCGAGAAAGTGAAAATTTTGAAGCGAAAACAACATGAGATAATAAAAATGAAAGGTATAACAGAACGTACCAGGCAATTAAAAAATGTCTCGCCAAGGAGGAAAATGGCATTGATAGAATGCACGCTAACGACGAGCTGCAGATAAAAAAAAAAAAGGAAAAAAAAATCGACTTATTTAAGAATAAAATGAATTCGGACAACACAAAGAGACGAAAACTTTGTACTTACGAAGTTTAATCTGTAATCTTTGCCGGTGAGAAATGCATAAATTATGAGCCAATAGACGATATCAGTAAGTACAACAGCCCCAGCACACATCTGCCATTACAAGTAAAAAAAAAAAGAGAGAATTAATGAGGTAAAAAGAATAATAATGATGTTTTAATACATATTAACAGAAAATTACTTGCCTGAAAAATGATTTGCAAAGCATATTCACAACCAGATGCAGTTTTTGAATTAACATCATCTTGATCGTGATTTAAGCTTCTATTGATGCTGTTTGTATCTTCACAATGGCCGATTTCGAAATCCGCGTTATCGCGATGAAAAAGGCATCCGTAAATGGAAAGTGAAGACCCGAGCTACAATATACAATCAGTCTAGTAAGTGTCTGTTTTGTTACTACTTATTATAATAGTACATAACAATTA